AGTCGAGAACAGGTTTGGCAAGGGTCAAATCCGTGTTTCTAGAACAGCCTGGGTGATACTCTCTCAGTGTCAATGGAAAACGTTAAGTGATGCTCTTTGCGAATTTCTAGAGCGGCTTTTGGGGATGCTCTATGCTTGTAAATAGAACATCGACTCCCATACGTGTTTAGGACCGGCTTCACAATGCTCTATCTGTTTCTAGAACAGCTTGGGGTGATCTGTCCCTGTTTCAAGAACAGGTTTTGGAGATGCTCTATCGGTGTATCTAGTATAGGCAGGGTCCCGTGGTAACTGCAAACAGTTATCTTGTACGGTTTGATTCCGAACATGGTTACAACGTGAAATCCATTCCTTGTGTTCCCCGTCGTGGTGTAATTTCAGTCTTCCTGAATCACTTAATATAGATGCCCTCGCATTGATGTTTCCACTAGCTCGTAGCGGGACCTTGCAAACGTAGCCACTAATACACATCTCATGTCTGATATTCCTACATTGTGTGTTTCTGGACAGGGACTTCCCTGCACTGAACCTGGTTCCTATAAAAGTATAGTTTTCCTGCCTGTGATTTCCTTGAGTTCAAATTAGATCAGATTGTGTGGCAGTATCCTGTTCTAGGCCGTCTTGGACACGACATGATTATCAATTCTGGAGTAGAAAAGTGTTACAACCAGACAAGGGAGGCGTGACGGGACAGATGCCAGGGACGTGAACGGTGGGGTTGGTGGTGTGTGTTGATAGTGTGACTGTTATAGATACTACGACTGTCGGAGGGTTGACGTGGATGGAAGCCATTGATAAAGCTTGTTGGGATGATTTGACGATGATAGAAGCTATGGGCTAAGGTGGTGGGAAGATTTGGTGGTGATAGGAGCCATGGGTTAAGGTAGTGGAGAAAGGTTTACCGTGATAGGTGCCTTGGGTTGAGCTAATGGGATAGGAGCCATGGGATATGGTGGTGGAAAATGGTTGATGGTGATAGAAGCCATGGGTTATGGTGGTGGAGAAGGGTTGATGGTGATAGGTGCCATCAGTTAAAGCGGCGGAGAGGAGATGGCGGATGTAGGAACCATGTTATGGTGTTTACGAAAAGGTGATTTTTGTAGGTGCCATGGGTCATCTGAAGGTTACTGTGAAAACAATATTTGAAGTGCTGCACTTCCTTACTGTTAATTTGGGGGTAAAACATTAAGGGCATCCCCATTGACATCTCCATGGACACAAACTGTACCCCCCGCCCTCTTTACTTATCTGGTTGTTTATGCATATGAATCGGATCATTTATTGATTTTAACATTCATAAATTATATCATTTTCCAGATGCCTGATGTTCTGGTCTAGTCGACTGTAGGTTTTCTTCATTTTAGTCCTGACTAAAGCTGTAGCGTTTGTGAAGCACACTTTGAAAAAATCATTTATAAAATCCATTTAAGGGTCTTTACCACCTTAGTCGGACGACTGCAGACATTTGTTTTTATAAAAGGTCAAGCTTGAATGCAGTTGATTTGCTGTAGAAGCTGTAGTTACAGATGTGAATTATGATGGCTTGTTTCACTGGCGAAATCAGAACGTCTTAATGCTTAACCTTGAGGCATCTCAACATCTTTGAAGTCTTGAGAAGGATTTTATGGAAATATTTTTTTATTATTACAAGTATCCGTACGCATGCGCTTGGACATTTGACGAAACGGTTGCTATGGAAACATGAGTTGAAATGTGTCACGTGACGAAGCTCGTTTTGTGATTTTGTCTCTGGTGACGTGGAGTTGGAGAATGAGTGGATTCAGATTACATCCGTTGGTGAAGCTTGATTTCGTTCGATTTCTATATTGAACAAAAGCTTTCATTAAATTGTTGTTCAAACACGTGTTGGGCAACCCTTGTCTAAAAAATACATGATTTCATATCGATTATATATCAACATGTACCCAGATCAGCTCAACGCTCAACGCCCACCCCCCATAAGCGACCCCTCACAATTCCCTGTCCCCGCATCAATGTCTCGCCCGCTGATAATGAGGTTAAAACTCGAAAGCTCCTTCAGTGTCAGGCACATCCTGCGTTCAGTCAAATTACATGTGTAAACCAAGGTGATTGTGACGTTTATTAAAATGAATCGCACAGTTTTCTCAGATTTACTGTACAACTTGAAACAGGATACAATACAGAGGTAATTGAGATTTAGGAATAAAAGGATGCTTTTTCGTTCTTACTATCACACCAACATTTTGAGGGCATACAACAACGTCTAGTTATACTAATCCTGCCTTCCAGTGATATGTTCACAACAACGGTATTGTATTTACATTCATTAGATGCTTTCTCTTTTGGTAGTACATGCAGTGGTCACCTGAGATACATTAATAGTTTTGAAATGCTAAACGAACACACATCCTGCTTCATGAGTTTTTCTGATATAGATAGATAGATATGATATAACGAGTTAACCATAGCATTGTGCCTGGATATAATAAAACGAGATCACCATAGCACAATATATGGATATAATATAACGAGATCACCATAGCACAATGTATGGATATACCATAACGAGATCACTATAGCACAATATATGGATATAATATAACGAGATCACTATAGCATAATGTATGGATATAATATAACGAGATCACTATAGCACAATATATGGATATAATATAACGAGATCACTATAGCATAATGTATGGATATAATATAACGAGATCACCATAGCACAATGTATGGATATACCATAACGAGATCACTATAGCACAATGTATGGATATACCATAACGAGATCACTATAGCACAATATATGGATATAATATAACGAGATCACTATAGCATAATGTATGGATATAATATAACGAGATCACCATAGCACAATGTATGGATATAATATAACGAGATCACCATAGCACAATATATGGATATAATTTAACGAGATCACCACAGCACAATGTATGTATATAATATAACGAGATCACCATAGCAGAATATATGGATATAATATAACGAGATCACCATAGCACATGTATGGATATAATATAACGAGATCACCATAGCACAATATATGGATATAATTTAACGAGATCACCATAGCACAATTTAATATATGTATATAATATAACGAGATCACCATAGCACAATATATGGACATAATATGACGAGATCACCATTGCACAATATATGGATTTTATTTATGGAGTTCATCATAGCACTGAACATGGATATAATATAACGAGCACACCATAACATTATACGTGGGCATAATATAACGAATTCACCATAGTATTTTATACATGTGTATAATAAAACTAGTTCACCAAAGCATAATACACAGATATGACATAATGCATTTTACAATGGTGAGGAATTCGGGAGGTGTGAGAGTGTAGTTGGTCAAGGTTAAAAGTAAAATCAAAATCTCATCTGTCTGACAAAGTTGTATCTAACTTATATGAAGATGAAATTAGTTAATGCACGGCATTAACTACTTTGGTCATGTCCTTAACAATTTAATAAAATACATTCAGAATCCAATAAGTGTCTATTTACATAGACCTTTTATTGACAGTAAACTTACCTATAATTTATGTTAGAATCCAACAAGTGTCTATTTACATACACGTTTTATTGACAGTAAACTTACCTATTATTTATGTTCAACTTCCAATGATTATGTACAGGTCAAATAATTTAGCTGGAATATCACTCACCCATTTACTTGCTCCTCATTATACTTATAGCCAGTCGTCGTAAGAAGACTGACATTGAACTGACTCCCAGCCTGACGCCTAACTTTTGATTCACCCACTCTATAACATGATGATCATAGTTTTCAGCTGACTCTGCTTCAGATTGCGGACGTCGTTGGAAAGATCATTATCGCACTACATCAAAACGGTATACCCTCAACACATAAACTAGCTTTGGATTAATTGTTAATGTGTGTTTGATGGTTTGTTGTTTAACGCCGCACTTAGCAATACGCCATCTATATGACTGCGGTCTGTAAATATTCGAGTCTGGACCAGACAATCCAGTGATTGACATCATGAGCATCGATCCACGCAATTGGGATCGATGTCATGCATCAACCAAGTCAGCGAGCCTGACAATCCGATCCTGTTAGTCGCTTCTCACGACAAGCATAGTCCCCTTTTACGGCAAGCATGGGTTGCTGAAGACCTATTCTACCCCGGATCTTCACGGGTCAATTGTTAATGCATTAGCATTAATGGCTGTCACTTCATACTTCTCCCTACAGCAGTTTGACAAATTTAAATTCAAATTGGAAAACGGGCGATCACTTAACACAAAATCAACAGCAATGTTGTCACTAATGTTACGATATGTAATATTCATCTCGTGCATCACGTCCCCAAATATGTCAATGGGACATCACGTGATTCCATGTACCGACTTCCGGAGTAAAACCAACATCAAGCAGACGCCTCCTGTGATCCTTAAGTTATGCACCATGCTCGAATACAACAAAACGCATAACGAAACATGGTGTCAGAAGTGGTGACAACTCACTCTCGTCACTAAATGAACATTATTACTCCCAACTCAAGTGAGTTTTAGTGAACTAAATGTATTTGACCGGCAAACTCGATCGTGTCAAACCCACGTGCGTTGCTCGACTCGCTGCATTGCATAACTCTAAATTAACTTTCTTCAAAGTGAACTAAAGCTGAAACTAATTTTCATTCTGAAGATTGATGTTTATTATACGCAACAACTTGATTGTGATATAATTTGCACTTGAAAACTCTCTCTAAGAACTACATATGACAAAATTGAAAAAGTATGGAAGCCTGTGTGGGCCATAATTCAATTTCGCAAGAAATCTACTGAAGTGCTGATGGTGAATGTTTTTTCTATGGAAACCTAAAAGGGACATTGTTTTAATTGTCATTGTTTATGGCAATTTGAACTTTTAAACAGCAAATGAGTAATTTTGAAGCAGTTTTATGAACTTTTAGGAAGAAAAAATTCTGACAACTTTTATCATCACTATGGCTGAAGAGCAAGCACAACCTGTTACTCAAGCTACATTTCAAGGCAATATTCCCCCACCTCCAAGACTTGAATTAAAGGGAAATCTTGCACAGAACTGGAAAAGATGGAGACAAATCTGGGACTCTTTTGAAGTTATGGCCAGAATTGATGCAAATGACCATAAATACAGACTTGCTTCTTTCATAACCTACATAGGTCCAGAAGCTCTTGATATCTATAATGGCTTACCTTATGAGTCTGAGGAGGACAAGGAGAACATGGATACAGTGTTAACTCTCATGGAAAGGCACTGTCTAGGTGAAACTAACGTCATATATGAAAGATACATCTTCAACCAAAGATCACAAATGGAAGGTGAATCTGTAGATACCTACACAAACACTCTCAGAACATTGGCTGCATCTTGTGATTTCAAAACGTTACATGATGAACTCATCAGAGACCGAATTGTGTGTGGTCTGAGAGATAATGCAACACGTAGAAAACTATTGCAAGAACCTAAGCTGACTTTGAAGAGATGCATAGATGTCAAGTGCCCAAGAGGATATCCATGCTGTTCGCAAGAAATCTAAAACTCCATGCAGACGTCAACCCCCAGACAAAAGTAAACATAGTAAGCCAGTAAATGACTCACAACAGAAAACTCTCATGTGGAACTGTAAATATTGTGGTAAACGTCACCCACCTCAACGAGAGCATTGCCCAGCATAAGGTGTCAAATGCAGTAACTGCGGTAGATTTTCACACTATGCCTCCGTGTGCAAGAGTAAGAAGAAACATTCTTCCCGAGTACACAGAGTCGATGATCAATGTGATGAATCTGATATTGATCCTACAGAGAGACTGATGACTATAGATACCTGTGAAGAATCTGTCAACTGTGTTGTAGGAAAATACCCTACTAAAATCTTCACAACACTTGAAGTGAACTCTCAACCAGTACGATTTCAGGTAGATTGCGGGGCTACCTGTAATGTGATCTCTAAAAAGTATCTCCCAGAGGATACTGACATGCAGGATACGTTGGTTAACCTGAAGATGTACAATGGGTCCAAGCTTACTACAATGGGAACTGCTAATCTCCATTTACGCAATCCCAAGAACTCTAAAAAGTATCATGGCAAGTTTGTTGTGATAGCTGAGGACAGAACACCACTGATTGGATCCCGCTCTGCTCAACAAATGAACTTTATGAAAGTGCTCCACGAAAATATTCATGAAGTTTCTGAAGAGAAACCTCCGTCTGAGAAAGTCACATCCTCAACTGGTCTTACAAAAGAGGACATACTGAAGACATACCCAGACATCTTTAGCGATGAACTTGGAACTTTTGAAGGAACTCAAAAGCTAGAAATTGATCCAAGTATAACGCCTGTCAAACAGCCACTCAGGAGAATTCCACATGCTCTCAAGCAAGACCTCAAGACAGAACTCGAACGTCTAGAAAAACGTGGTGTAATTACTCCAGTTGATACACCTACAGACTGGGTCTCTAGTCTCTTGATCGTTAAGAAGCCCTCAGGTCGTCTACGCCTATGCATAGATCCTAAACCTCTCAATAAAGCTCTCAAAAGATGTCACTATCCATTGCCTGTAATGGAAGATATACTGCCAGATATTGCAGAAGCCAAGGTGTTCTCTAAATGTGACTTGAAAGATGGTTTCTGGCATATCGTACTTGATGAGGACTCTAGTTATCTCACAACCTTTGGAACTCCATTTGGACGCTATCGGTGGCTCAGACTTCCTTTTGGTGTTTCCCCTGCACCAGAGATATTCCAGCAGAGAATCGATCAGCTTCTCCAAGATCTGCCTGGAGTATTCAGGATAGCAGATGATATATTGATCATTGGTGAAGGCTCTACCAAGGAAGAAGGAATAGCAAACCATGACAAACGGTTTGTGCAATTCATGATACGATGCCGAGAGAAAGGTATTCGACTCAACTCAGACAAACTTGATCTGAAAAGGTCAGAAGTCTCTTACATTGGTCATCTTCTAACAGATCATGGACTCAAACCTGACCCTAGAAAAGTGAAAGCAATCCTTCAAATGCCTACACCTACACAGATGTTCAAGGTGTCCAACGTGTGATTGGGATGGTTACATATCTATCCAAGTTCCTCAGAGACTTGTCAGATCTGTGCGAACCCATACGGCAATTGACAAAGAAAGGAATCCTTTGGAATTGGACACACGAACATGATGCTGCTTTCGACTCTATCAAGCGAGCTGTCACTCAAGCGCCTGTTCTCAAGTACTTCAACAGTCATGAAGAAGTCTCTCTTCAAAGTGACGCATCAGAAACAGGACTTGGAGCTACTCTACTTCAAGGTGGACAACCAGTAGCATACGCTAGCAGAGCTCTTACTCCCACAGAAAGAAACTATGCTCAAATTGAGAAAGAGCTCCTGAGCATCCTGTTTGGATTTACTAGATTCCACCAGTATCTCTATGGACGCAAAGTACAAGTCGAAAGTGACCATAAGCCTTTAGAGACTATACACAAGAAACCTCTGGTCACAGCTCCCAAGCGTCTTCAACGCATGCTTCTCGCCTTGCAGAAGTATGACTATACCATCACATACAAGAAAGGCAAGGAAATGTATCTTGCCGACACCCTGTCTCGTGCATACGACAGAGACAGAAGAAGCTGTGGATGTGGAGATGGAAACAGAACAAATCCACATGTTAGACTACCTGCCTGTGTCTAATGAAAGACTCACTGAAATCCAACGTGCAACCGCTCTGGATGAAACCCTCCAGGTTGTAGCCAAGATGGTACAAGTAGGATGGCCCGAGACAAAGAGTGACATACCTAATCTTGCAACACCATATTTCCATGTGAGGGATGAACTTAGTGTTCAAGATGGAATTCTGTTTCGTGGAAACAGATGTGTTGTTCCAATAGCATTACGATCTGACATTCTCAAACGTCTACATAATGCTCACACTGGCATAGAATCAACCAGGCGAAGGGCCCGTGAATGTGTTCATTGGCCTAACATGAATGCTGAAATCAAAGACTTCATATCCAAATGTGAAGTTTGCCAGATCTATGATTCCAAGCAAGCCAAGGAACCTCTGATTCCTTATGACACTCCAGACAGACCCTGGTCAAAGCTAGGTATTGATTTGTTCAACTGTAATCAGAAAGACTATGTAATCCTAGTTGACTACTTCAGTGACTTCTTTGAAGTAGATATGATCACTGACAAAACAGGAAAACAAGTGATCCAGAAACTCAAAAGTCATTTGGCTAGACACGGAATACCGGATACCATAATCTCAGACAATGGTCCACCGTTCAATTCTCAGGACTTTGCTGATCTCGCCAACAAGTATGAGTTTACTCACATAACAAGCTCACCAGCCTTCCCACAGTCGAATGGTAAAGTCGAGTCTGCAGTAAAGTCAGCCAAGAGACTAATCAAGAAATGCTCAAAAGCAGGTTCTGACCCTTATCTAGCCTTGTTAGACATCCGCAACACACCAACTGAAGGAATGTCTACATCCCCTGCACAGCGCCTGTTCAATCGCCGCACCAAGACTCTACTACCTACGACCAAACAGTTACTCCAACCAGCTGTTTGTCCAACAGTCAAATCTGAAAAGAGGAAGAAAGTAGAGAGTCAAGTGAAGTATTTCAACAGACATGCAAAAGACCTGTTGCCATTGTATGAAGGCGACCAAGTGCGCATTCAACCAATCAGACTAGGTGATCATGAATGGAAAAAAGGCACAGTAAACAAACAAGTTAACATCAGATCATATGAAGTTAACCTTGATGATGGTCAAACACTAAGGAGAAATAGACGTCACTTGAGACCAGTACCATTTACACCTCATGAACCAGAACCAGCATCTCAACATGCTCAAGCACCAGCAATTATACAAGCACCAGAGCCAGGTACAGACCAGCCACTGAAACAACCGTCTCCCAAGAAAGTTAAACAGTCACAGACACAGCCATTGGTGACAACAACAAGTAACAACAACTCATCACCCAGAATCACGAGAAGTGGTAGAGTTTCAAGACCACCTGCACACTTGAAAGACTTTAACATGAATTTTAATTTTGTGTATCTATTAAGTGCTGGGTGAACATCAATTTAATTTCATGGACTTTAATCTTATTTACATGCATATGTTTCTTTATTTCAACAGTGACTTTCATAGGAACAGTGACTTTAATGTGAACAGTTTCACACTCCCTATTATCTCATTGACTTTAATTGTGTTCTAAAAAAAAGGGAGATGTTACGATATGTAATATTCATCTCGTGCATCACGTCCCCAAATATGTCAATGGGACATCACGTGATTCCATGTACCGACTTCCGGAGTAAAACCAACATCAAGCAGACGCCTCCTGTGATCCTTAAGTTATGCACCATGCTCGAATACAACAAAACGCATAACGAAACAACTAACAGATCTGAGCAGCTGATCTTGAAGATTACATGAAGGATGATCGTGTATTGTCTTCTCACGTCACATGGAAGGTTTGTTATTAATGCATTAAAAAGAAAAAAATGCTTCGTTTGTTACTTTTATCTGAATCTGAATGATTCTGATTGAACGAAAGAAGAGCACAGATGCAAAAGCTGAAAGAAATTGGCAATTTCCTGCAGACAGCCGTCATGCTAGCAAATCACCTAAGGACATTTTACCATATATCATTTGGTCTGAAAACATACATGGCGGGCAATAGTGCATGCAACATGTGTATATAAAATCGCTCAAACAAGCTTCCTGGAAAGTGAATATTCTACAAGACTGGTTGAAGGGCCCTTTCCAAAACTATTCTCCAAATATATATAGTAACACTGCATAGCACAGGACCTTGGGGTAACACGTCCTTGAACATGTTTGCATCATTTGCAGTTTTTGAAATGTATCAAGTCGTAATGGGGAGGGATCGAGCTCAATCAGCATCGAAAGCAAAGAGAATGTGTTACATTAATAAGGGAGGATCGTTTCGATAGTTTTGGAAATAGCTGTCATTGATCTGGCTTGCTACAGTCATCTTTTCAACCACGATGTTGCTGGAGTGGCAGACATCGACTTCAGATTGCGGCAACATATAGCCTGGAGAAGGGCTGTTAAAAGGTTGGATAATATTTGCTGAGGTAGTGGACAGTGGTTGTTGAGAACATTGATATGGACTGTTGAAAGGGCGAACAGTTAATGTTTAGACGGCGGACAGTCGTTTTAGAGATGGTGGACTTTGGTTGTTGAAAGGGTGGACAATTGTTCAAAGGGTGGACAGTGGTTGTTTAGAGTGTACATACTGGTTGCTGAAAGGGCGTACAGTGGTTTAGATGTTGTGGATATTGGTTGTTAGGAGGGTGCACATTGGTTGTTAAGAGCTTGTATTTGGTTCTTGAGAGGGTGGTCATTGGGTGTTGAGCGTGAGGACAGCTGTTGATAGTGACAGGGCGCACAGTGGTGAGCATTGCCAACGGTCAGTTCGGGATAGGACAACGAATTGTCACCATCATTAAGTGTATGTTGAGAGTGTGGACATCATTGTGGTTTGTAAGGTTCTCTGTGAAATGTGGATAGTGGGCAAAGAGGTCTGCTCGTTGGTTGTACTAGAGTCGTTAATGGACAAAGCGGTCTTCTCGGTGGTGTACAAAATTGAGTAGTGGGCAAAGAAGTTTTCTCTGTGATTCTACAAGAGTGAGTAGTGGGTAAAGAGGTATGCTCGGTGATTCTACAAGGGTAAGTAGTGGGTAAAGCGGTCTTCTCGATGGTGTACAAAAGTGAGTAGTGGGTAAAGCGGTCTTCTCAGTAATTCTACAAGAGTGAGTGGTGGATATAGATGTCTTCTCGGTTTATTCTACAAGAGTGGATCGTGGATACAGAGGTTTTCTCGATGGTTGTACAAATGTGGATAGTGGGTAAAGAGTTCATTTTAGGCATTTGTAACTCAGGCATCTTTATACGGATGAGCGTCTGATAACATGTCCAATGTCCTTGGCGCAGATGACGTAACAATCAAGAAGCGGTTTATAAGATAAAGACAAGACAACTATCGTTCGTTGGGTGTATCCTCTTTCCCCGGGTTCCTCTCCCTGTCGTTATCGTGACAGTAACCCCGACTGTTGGATTGCTTACACATTGACGGGAAGTCGAGCACAGTGGCATGTGTGGCTTTCAACTACAGCATACCAACTGCCCTTGTCTCTGTTCTGTCGATACATTTGTATGTTACTGCTAGTTGTTCGACTCCTTATATTGACGAACATTGTGAGTTGTTTTATACACATATATGAAACCTATGATCATGCTGCATTTCCGATTTCAGCGAATATAGTAAATTTACACGTTTAGTGAACTAGAGCATGATATTCGACTGCGCGTTTTCTGTTGCTTTTCTACCATTTGTTTCACATTAATTTGTATAAAACATTGTGTTTGAAATGATAATAAATATGATTTGGACACGGTTACTTTTCTTTTGTCAGTGTATTTTTTAGTTAACACAAAATTGTTGCAGCCAATTGTTACAGTTTGCTTTAGAATTATGTAACACATGCAGCATTATTGACAGCAAACAACATGCGTGTGAAGAGAGTGTAATCATATCATATTTCAGTCGGGCCCCATTATATCGAGATCCGTTTTCTCGAATTTACCCATATCTCGAACCTATTCTCAAGACTGCCTCACTATATAAATACTTATAATCCTGAGCGTTTATCTAGAATTCGAGATAAAAATACACAGTTGTATCTCGGAACCAACTATTATTTTACTGTTGGATTTTCTATCTCTATCTAAATCATCTGCCGCGTTAACAGTTTAAAAAAAAGTGCAGATGAGTATTTTACGGAGTGGTGAGCAATTCTCCCTGATATATGTAATACATTTCCTCCCACATTCATCTGACATCGCTGTACAAATACAGAGTTGTTCAACAAGTTTAGTTTTTTTCCTTTAATCTAATTGTAAATGACAAATGTTGTTGACAAAGTAAACCACTCGAGTAGACATGAGTCTATGTAGGTTTTTTTTCTAATTGCAATTGTAAATAGTATATCACATTATCTATGTTTCAAAGACTTAAACTTGATTTACTTTTGCCA